CGAGTGTAGTCCAAATCAGTGTGTCCTTTGCAGCTGACTTAGCCTCAAAGTCAGCTTTTTCATTTCCCAATATGCCAGTATAGTCAGGAACAAATATAAAGTTATCTTATTTACATTATTTTTAATTAATATGGTGTTGGATATATGCGATTTTATTGCTATTGCAATTGGGATTTAATAGAGCTTTTAGGACAGACTGAGAATCACTGTAAATGTTGATAGACAGAGTTTTGTTTGGTAGTGAAGTGGCCCACTGAACAGCTTGGTAGTCAGCATCTTCTTCAGCTTGATAGATGGATGTATGTGGGAGGTATCTGTACCTTCTACATACCTCCATCTATTTGGAGGAAGATACAGATACTTGAGCCGACAAGGAGATTTTGGACCCATCTGTGTAGATATTAATGTCTGCATGATTATCTATGGAGGAAACAGATGACACCAAATAACCTTGTTTACAGGATGATGATCAGAGATAGTAGGGTAATTGCAATGTCGCAGCATATGAACAGCCCTAGATAGGAGTAAAGACCGTTGTTGAGTTTTGACATTTGTAGTCCTGATGTAGTAGTTTAGAACCTTTTCTACAATACATAGTGGCAAAGGAAGGAGTTCTGCTAATATCAGAGAGGCATTAGTAAAAACAGTTTTGCAGCACTTTGAAATTCTGATGGCAAACTGTCTTTAAAAAGATAGTAATTTACTTGCTACTGAATTTTTACTAGTTACATGACCACAGCCAGAGGCTGCGTAAAATAGCATTGGTTGTATTTCCCCATTATATAGAGTTTTATAAGCTTTATTACAGGTATACCTCGCCTTACGTCGGTAATTGGTTCCAGGAGAACGACGTAAGTCGAATTTACTTGTCTCCGAATCTACTTGTCACTGGGCTAAACCATAAATTACCATTCCTGGTTTTGTATTTTATTTATTAATGCATTTTTAATAATATATGGTTAATAAAAATCTATTTTAAGCTTACAAACAAATAAATTTTAGTTTTTAATATAGTACAGAAAAAAGTATTCTAAATTTACGAATGCATGTACTGTAAATACAGAACATAGTAGTATATGTTTTAATATGATTTTATGTTCTTTAAACGTTTTTCTAGTGATATTACGACTTCAATATTTGTGGCGGACAGACGTAAAGTCGAATAAAATGACTTAAACTTGA